GACAAAAGACAAGTTTTAAAAGAATCTTTTAGAATTCGGAATGGCTACTGGAATATCAACAAACAAATTCCAATTATTTACTTGGATGAAACCTGGTTCGACACTTACGATACCCCGCAAAAGGGTTGAGTTGACTCAACTGATAAGTGTAAAACAAACGCGCCATCAAAAAGAGGTAAAAGAATAACTATTTTGCATGCTGGCTCTAAAGATGGTTGGATTCCAAATGGATTTATTTGAAAGTTGGTTTAAAAACAAAGTAGTTCCAAACATTCCTCCTAATAGCGCAATTGTAATCGACAAAACAAACTAGTTATCACAGTAGACAGTTGACTAAAACCCCTTCCTCATGTGACACAAAAGCAACAATCCAAAACTACATGTATAATAACGACATTTATTTTCACGAAGATTATACCAAATAGCAATTAATTGAGGTTCTACAAAGCTTGAACCTACAAAAGGAATACGTCTGTGATAATTATGCAAAAAATCTAAGGCATACAGTTTTAAAGCTTCCACCTTACCACTGTATATTTAATCCCATTGCAAATGTTTGGCATCAACTGAAATCTGCCATTCGTCGTAACAATGTTTTGCCCCGTGTTAACTCTAATGTCCGCAAACTTATAGAAACCGAAGTTTTTAACATCCCTCCACAAAGTTGTTCAAATTCTGCTAAACATATAGAAAAAGCAGAACAATCAATCAACAAACAAATAATAATTAGAACAGGCGATGATAGCGATACTGATACTGATATATTATATGAATAAGTTTAAGTAATTAACGTAGGTAATAAAATAATTTGTAATTTTATTTTAAATCTAAACATAAATGCATACATAAATAAATAAATATTGTTTAGTATCTTTCCTAACAAAACCCCAAATAATTCAATTCTAAGTAAAGTACGGACCTGTTCGGCCATATTTGATTCTTACAGCTTGCCCGGGTCTTTCCTTAATTCGTATCAGTTAGTCACTTTCTTATAAATACGAACAGACTTTATTTAATTTTTTTTTTTGACAATTTTGTAATAAACCAACTTTAGAAAACATCAAAAGAATAATCTAAACACGTTGATGCTAGTGCGAAACTCATATACAATTTATATAAAGGCGTCATATTTTTCTTGACTTTGTATAGTGCATGTCAAACTATATCGTGTCATCTTTTGACGAAATCCGACCCCTGCTGATATATTAGTTGAGTTGAGGACATTTCTATACAGATCAATATAATTTTTGTTTGGAATTAATCTCAATGACAACTCTGAATGTGGAACGAACAGCGCTTTTATATTTGCAAAAAAAATATAATTATGTAATTTTTACAAAACTTATGGATTCCTCCTGCGTCGGTTTTTGCTGAGTCGAACTTGCTAACGTTATTACGTATTACAGTAGCCTGTTGATGTTTCTTTGAAAAATTAATATAATTATGTGCAGATAATTTAATTAATATTTTATTCAAATTTTGTATATATTTAATATCATTATTTTTCATTAATGTAATTTTAAGGCTAGACCTATTTAAAAAGACAATAAATTTCCTAATCTTATCTATATTATTATATCTATCTATATCTAAATCATTATCACTGCTCCTTATTTATCGGGTACTTTAGTCACGGGTTTATGATGCGATATATTTTGATACAAACCATAGGTCTGACCGCAATTTTCAAAAAGTTAGTTTTGTCATTGTGTTGAACAAGTTAATAATCATTAATTTTATAATAAAAAGTTACTCCAAAAATGATTGCTATACCAAACGCGACTTGTGATTTAACGCGAGAAATAAATTAATAGAGACTAAAAAAAATATATGCCGCCACTTGACAAGGGCGAGTAGTTTCAGCTCAGAATTAAAGATAAAAAAACTGACCTCAAAAAAAAAAACACTTCACTTCAAGTAAAAGTTGACAATAAATTGGTAAAAATTACACAGGCATTTAAGTATTTGATATTCAGGCAAATGACAAGAACAAAATGCAGAGGAAAAGAAACTTTACAAATGTTATTAACCGTATCCTATTGAAGTGCCTACTAGTATGGTGTTTTCAACCGTCGTTATTCATTTAAACGCGCCAAACATCCTTCTACCGATAACGAAACGCAACTCGCGATGTCGTTAGTAAAGCCATAAAAAAAGTTTTCTCCTGGCTTGTAAATATCCACCGTTAACAAACTCCGACGTGTTTCAAAATCCCCGCGACGCGGCGCGACACACGCAACAATTGACTTTAATTTCCCGTGGGACGAGACAAATTTTCTTATCAATTGCGTCGAAACTCCCAGAATTATCGTCCTACATATGGCTGCATCAATAAAAAAAGCAGACGACGCCCGCGCCGAATTCCAAAATCGTTTTTCCAAAGCCTATGAAGTCTCACAGTAATCAGATTTAAAATAATAAAGTTTTTGCGGATGTAATTTTTCATAACTATTAACAATTTCCCGGTGGCTGTGATTTCGCAACTTTATATTTTACAATTAATTTTTAAGCAAGCCTAGTAAATAAACGAAGAAACACATGCAAAAGAAATGTCCGTTTTCCGTAATTATTATTTTATTTTGGCGCTCTTTTTACTTTTGCTGTGAGTTATGAATCTATGAATTTTTTTCTACATACACAAGTTTATTTTGACATTTTATAATCAATTTTAGGTAAACAAAATTCTGTATTTTCCATGACCCACTCATAAAAAAATAAAATTAAATGTATATTTCTTTATGTTTGGAATAGTATTGTCTTTTTAAAAAGCTAACAAAAAGCATAATAAAATTATTAAAAGGCAGAGAGTGTTACATTATATTAAAAAACTCAAGTATTGTTTTTATATCAAAATTTGTGAGTTGCATAAAAAAAACTGACTACTCCACTGGATCCTGCTTAAAAAACCCTATCCAGATCAGTTTTTACCTTTTTTATCCAAGATAGTTATCACATTTCTATTTGTGTCACCTTTCATTTCATAAAAAAACGGTAGGTCATAAAAATCCAAACACGCTAGCTTTATTAGATAATAACGCCGTAAAACTATTAAAATTGAGATACACAGTACAGTATAGGGTGGTGATAATTGGAATATTTTTGTACATTAGGTATAGCAAAAATTGATTTACACCATCTTCACCATCAATTTTCGACCATTTTCAAAATTGTAGATAAGTTTTTTATTTATACTGTTTAGGACAAAGATATGACAGAGACAATTATTCTAGTCTAATGCAGTGACGTACTCAGTAATTCTCCGATTCCGTACAAAAGTTTACAACTTTCTTATTTTATGCAGCAGCAATTGGGTATAACTTTTAACTAACTAAATTGAAATTCACGAAAAAGAAGAAAAATTTAGGAGGGCACAAAATCATAAAATTTAACCCAAATAATAAATAGCTCACCTCTGGTAAAATTCGATGATAAGCTTAAGTTTAGGCATAAATTAGGATGGCTATTTTAACTCAAATATTTTTTTTGCCTTTCCGTAATTTTGAAGGGTTTCAAATTAATAAATGAATTTCAAGCATAAGTTTAGCCAGTAAAAAAATCCAATAAAGGATAAAAAAATTTCATATCAGAGACCACACGATTGAAAAAGGGTCAACAGGGACATTCTTTATATAGAATAAAAAAATTGTATTCATTTTCCAAAAAATTGAGAATTTATTACATTTTATTTAAAAAAAATGTTAAAGTTATCTAAAATTCCTCAAAAATGGATCTCATAACAAGTGGTTTACCTAATAAAGAGACTAAAATTTTAAAATTAAGACCATCCTATACATTAAAGCGTTGACACATCAAACGGAGGAAGCCCAAGTTGTCCAGTATCGACGATCAGAAACCGTTGATTTTTATACGCGTGGTCACCGTATTCCAATTTCAGAAAGTCGACTTTCGCCTCCCAATTTAAGCTCTGCTCTCTATTGTGTTTGAACTTTTAAACCCGCAAAGGGGCCAACGCCCCGTACAATTCCCACTGGAAAATGCAGTTTCTATTCCCATCGGGATCGGAATGATTCGGACCATAGTAGGATCCTCTTTGTTTTTACGGTTTCTCCTTGCAACAAGGCGATTTAATTCTTCTAAGTTACTGTAACGAGACAATGAAATCGGTTTATGTCCTTTATTATAGCCTGTTTGCGGCAATTATGTCTGCCCGTTTTGTTACTACGCTATGATAATACAGGGTGTTATTTAATAGATGTTCGATAGTTCCAGTGTCATTTTTTAAATAATTTTAAATTAAAGTTGCTATAAACGTGGGGTTTAATACATATAAGAGAACCTTTTTCCACCCAAAAATGGGGCTCATTTTTTCACAAAACATATAATAGAGGATCGTATAAGAAGTCACGAGCCTTTGAAAATGAGAAAGGACATGTACATATTTCCCTCTAAAAGTTAGACCTAAAACTAAGAGCAAATTTAAATTTCCCCAGGTCTCAATTATTGATAATAAATCTGTAGTATTTAAGAAATTACTCAGAAAAAACAAAACAAAAATTAAACTTTGACGCTCTCTATATCGGAAACGAAGGATCGAATGAGAAATCACTCTGTGAAATATAGAACAATTAAATAACACCCTGCATATTTGCACGTGAATTGACGAAAGAAAGTAAAGCAGACAAGTTGAGACTCATACAATAAAAATTAATTATTAATGATACTTTTATACGTACTCATAACCCGTACCTCTGTAACAAACACAAAAGTTCCCTTCAACGTATCTCTAAACAAATTAGGTATAGAAAACATCGGACCTTATGGGCATTACTAAAACAACAAAAAAACGATTTCGCTGAAATCTTTACGACCACAAACGCAGTAACGTCTATAATATACTGACCCATTCATTTCAATAATTACAAGACAGAAGGGAAAGCTATATTATTAAAGTACACAGAAGGAAAACGAATACAATCGCCCCCATTTTCTTATAAAATCTCGAGACTCCCTTCGGATTTGTTTAAAACGTTGTGGCAGTTGAGGAAAATTGGTTAGTGTAATGGGATCAATGGAAAATATAATGTTTTGAAGCTGGAAAGATAGAGGTATATAACTAGATTTGTTAAGAAATTAATGTAAGTTGAAAATTTAAAGTTTTATATATTTTTACAGAAACGCAAATGCGATGGAACTCAAACCGATATTAAAACTTGCGGCAAATTCCATGATCCTCGCTGGGACGTGGCCGCTACCGCTACCCACGAAAAACGTGGCACTCCGCAAAACATACGCGGTCTATTGTAGACTGATACACATCTTTTTTTCGATATTTTTACTTTCCCTTTACATCCAATTCGGGTTGAAAGTGAACGACGGAAACTCTGATGAAAACCGCGAAGGGTTGTTTTCGCAAATGTCCTTCCTCATCAGCTTGCTAATAGTCGGCGTCACTATAATTCTGTATAGAAGAAAGAACGCAAGACTCGTCATAAAATACATAATGAAAGCAGACGCGAACATAGCTCGATCAAAAGACGAAGACGTTTTACGATATCATTCCCGACAAATACAGTTTTGCAGAAGGTTGAGTTTCGGAATAGTGTCGCTGTCGGTTTGGATGGGAATATCGATGTTTCTGGAAACCCATTTGCAACGACTCGAAATAGAGAATTTTAACAAAGGAAATAATCGCAGTATCGAAAAACCTTTGACGTTCGATATGTATTTCTTTAACTTGGATCGGGCGAAATACGAGACGACGCTGTTGTGCATCAGTTACGTGCTGCTTCCCCTCAATTGCCTCTTGTTTACTTCGAGTAAAATTATCTTCTTTTCCTGTATCATCTTCCCCGCATCAGTTCTGAAAACTTTACAGATAAGGTTCAGGAAGCTGGGCGTCGCTGGGAGTGACATGTTGGCAAATTTGAAAGAACTGATAGCAGAACATCAACAGACCATCTGGTAAAATTTGTTTCAGTAAATAATTTATCAATGAATGAAGTTGCTCATTTTTTCGCTAATATAACTTTTTATAATTTTCAAGTTGAACAAAATAAAATATTTATTGTTTAGAACAATTATTTGGTTTCAGGTTTATCCAAAAGTTAAACGATTCTGTGAAGTACTTAATCTTTCTGGATTTTCTATTAAACTCACTGGATATAGCAACCGTCTCTATTCAGTTAATCACGGTGAGTTAACAACATAAACGCTTTATTCTGCGACTTTAGGTTGAAATTATTGTCTGTTTAATAGTTGCCACTAATCTCAACTGTCAACTATTGAAAGTATCTTTAAATACGTTCATATTAATTAATCTTGTTTTATAATTATCCGTTTCAGTTAGAGAAAAATAAACTTGCATCTCCTATGATTTTCTTTGGTCTTTTAATTGTTCAAACTTTCGTCCTCGGATGGAGCGCAAATGAGATAAAAACTCAGGTAACCACAGCAGGTTGCTTCAAGTAATTAATATGGTGGTCTAAAACTGCTTCTTATAGAGTTTGGCGCTCGGAGACTCATTATATGAGAGCTCGTGGTACGAGCAAAGCGAGGTCGTTAAAAAAATGATATTGACTGTGTTAATTCGAATGCAGAGGCCTCTGGTTTTGACTATCGGACCGTTCGATGCCATGACGACAGAATCAGCTCTTGCGGTATGTATCCTCTTTGAACCAGATGACGCTACACAGAAGTATTCTATAAATAATTAGTAAGTACTGTTGCTCCCTCTATTGCCCCTCCCCATCCTTCATCGTTATACCTGCAGTCCCTTGAGTCCCAAGATGAAGTTTGTAATAGTTCTTCTTTTTAAAATCTAGTTTTACACTAACATAACTTAAGGAAAACTCCAAAAAATTAATAATTATTTATAATAATTATTAAAAAATTAAGATCGCACAAAATATTTTTTTTTAACATTTTTCTATATGCTATTAAAAACACATTGCCAAAGTTTATAAAAAGATTTATTGACTGGCCCTGGATTCCGAGGTATAAACCTTACGGCGCTCCACTAATAGCGCAATATACTAATGTTAATATTGTGTTTCAGATAATGAAGGGCTCGTACACCTACATAAGTGTAATGTTAAATACCTACTAGAACCAGCATGCAACACAGGCCGGCATGGCAAGATTCAAAGTAAATGAAATGCTTTGATTGTATAATACCGGGTAATTGATAATCGACCCAGGCGTACACTTTTACTAAGAAACGGAGATTTTTTTTAAATTTTACTACTTTTTCAAGTCTGCTATATCGAACTAAAATATTATATCCTATATTTTATTATAATTTTAATACTTAAACTTTAATACTAGTGCATTTTTGATTATTTTCCACTTCTATTTTATCCAAAATTCGATAATATACTGCACTATACTGCACAGGGTGTTTCAAAATTAATGATTTTCACAACATATAAAAATTTTTAAAACTTTATTTTTTATTATTATTTTACATTATTCCAAACTCTAAAAGACAATAAAATTTCCTTTAAAATAAAGTAGACTATTTTACACATAAGTCGTACGATTTTCTAAATAATCGCCACAATTTTTTAAAATCTCATTATCTAGACATATTTTTATCAGTTAGCCAAGCGACACCATGTTGTTTAATAGTAATTGCTCAACTAGCGCTTCAAAATGAATTCCAAAGTTGTACAATTTTCATTAATAATGTTCTTCTTAGTATTTACTTTACAATAATTTAAAATTGAGCAACTCAAACGAAGTTTCCATGAAACTTTTTATTATCTATCAATTGGAACTCAACAAACGCAGCTATGATATCGCGGAATAATTTTCAATCATATCAGAAGTTTGTAACAAGAATGTTTAGGGAGTTCAATACAATGTATATCATTCTTAAAAAAATATGAAAGTAAATTTGCCTAAATACAAAAAGACTCCATGATCCATTGCGGTTCAAATCTTAAGGGAGTTCCAAAGATATCATCAAGAAAATTTTGGATTAATTGAACGCATATCCTCAAATTTATCTTAGATATCTAAATAAGCACGGAGAAAGTATTAAGCAAAAATAATTGAAAGGAAACAGAGAATCAAAAAATGTAATGTAAAATATAAAATAACGATATTTTATTTCGGCTAAGTACCCAGATTTTCATAACGAATGCCTTTTCAATTTTCCTTTCCAATTCACTATCAATCACCCTGTATATTATACAGATTGATTTACAAACAGTTGATTGAGGTTCCTTTAACTATTTCCGAAATAATAACAAAAAAAATATTTTCGGGGCCTCTCTTTAACAGGTCATTTTCGGAAACATGTTTATTAAAAAAACTAACAATAAATTGATGAAAGCGCTTAAGTTAAGAGTACTTATTAAAATTTTACCACGTTTCCGCATTCCGGATAGAAACTCCCTTGCGTTCCGAAAGTATTTGCACAGAATAAGCGAACGAGTGCGCTTAAAAGCACGCGCACATCTAATACACCTTTTGGAATAGGCAAATGGCACTACGAGAAATGCAATAAAATGTTATATTAAGCTCGCATTCTATATGCTTCGGCGAGAAAGACGTTCATACCGACTACTGGATGCGGCATGTGTACCTAAGAATGCAAAGATGCAAACAAATGCAAATGCTGAAAAATGTAACGACTACAGGAAGAAGAACATTTTATTTAACTAGTTCTTAGGAAGTTTAGGAAGTCTTGGTACGGGTTACATGAATGTATGAATTTGTATGTGTTTTTTGTAGTAATTTTATAGTGAATTTTGCAATTTCTGTTATTACACTAAAAAGGGCGCTGCAGCGGCACGACTAATAGAATCGATGTATGATATTACCTCCGATCTACTATATTAAAAATGCAAATCCCTTACCTTCAACCCGTGTTATTTATTGTTCATCTCAAGGGGATAGGGACAGCAACAGAAGTAATTAAAAATAATTCTGTAGGTAAAAGATTTTGATGATCTAGCTTAATTGTAATTAATTCTCTTAACGCAGTTTGGATAGATGTTTCATCCGTGGAAACAGGGACTCAGATCTTCAATTCTCCGTGATAATTCCGTTACAAGAAGTGAAATAATTAATAAAGAGTAGTTAAAACATCAAATGACACTACAATACACTACCCCACCCTACTCTCGATTTGACACCTAGGTGAGTCACTACAGTGTGGGATGTTCGTCAACTTTGAATTCTTTTGTGGTAGATTTAATAATAATTAGTCCCTACCAGATGGAAAAATTGTGTAGCCCGTTTTTAAAAAGTAGAACAATTATATTAAGTATAGGATCTGTGGCCAAGGCAAGCGAAAGAATTTTTGTGAACTTGAATGATGACAGTGAGAGTGAAACTGAGCTTGATTAAAACTTAATATTAATTTTTGACACTTTTATATACCTAGGTAGTTTACAGTGATGTATAAGTTTTGTAACATAGCATATTGTATATGCCTTACATAGTGTTTATAGATCGTATTAACTAGACGAACACTGATCTTTTTCGTGCTATTTTGTTGGTAACATATTCTACACAACTTGAACAAAAACTGATTGTTAACACTTGCTCCCTCTAATTAAACCGCTTTGAAAATACTGGTAAAGTCTGTTCATAGATATAAGAAAGTGACTAACTAATACGAATTAAGGAAAGGCCCAGGTAAGGCGAAATAATGAAATATGGTCGAACACTTCCGTACTTTGCTTAGAATTTAATTATTTGGGGTTTTGTTCGGAAAGATACTAAACAATATTTATTTATTTATGTATGTATTTATGTTTAAATCTAAAATAAAATTACAAATTATTTTTATTACTTACTTAAATTATTATTATTTGTTCTATATTACGATTGTTCTGCTATTTCTATGTTTAACAGAATTTGCCCAACTTTGTGGAGGGATGTTAAAAACTTCGGTTTCTATAAGTTTGAGGACATTGGAGTTAACACGGGCAAAAACACTGTTTCGACGAATGACAGATTTCAGTTGGTGCCAAACATGTTCAATGGGATTAAATATATAGCGGTAAGGTGGAAACCTTAAAACTGTATGCCCTAGATTTTTTGCATAATTCTCGCAGACGTATTCCTTTTGTAGGTTCAAGCTTTGTAGAACTTAATTAATCTTCGTGAATATAAATGTCGTTATTATACATGTAGTTTTGGATTGTTGCTTTTGTGTCACATGAGGAAGGGGTTTTAGTCAACTGTCTACTGTGATAATTTGCATTGTCCATTACAATGACGCTATTAGGAGGAATGTTTGGAACTAGTTGGTTTTTAAACCAACTTTCAAATAAATCAGCGGTGGTGTCTTCATGGCAATGGAATCCAACCATCTTTAGAGGCAGCATGCAAAATAGTTATTCTTTTACCTCTTTTTGATGGCGCGTTTGTTTTACACTTATCAGTTGGGTATTATAAGTGTCGAACCAGGTTTCACCTAAGTAAATAATTGTTGTTCTCTGTAAATCCTATTTTTTTCTAGATATTCCAGTCGCCATTTCCGAATTCTAAAAGATTCCATTAAAACTTGCCTTTTGTCAATTTTTTTAAATCTAAAACTCATGTGTTGAATACACTTCCATAAGGTAGTTCTGCCACATTTAACACCGGTTTCATCTTTTTCAAACCTCCTAATTAAGATATCTAATGTAGGCGCTCTTTGTTCCTCATATAACTGGTAAATTTTATCTTGATCACTTACATCCACACTCGAGAAAATGTCAGCATCGCTTCATTTTTTCCTCGCTGAAATGGGATTATTCACAATTTTCCATACAGTTGATGTTGGAATTTCCGTCAATGCCGTTTCTTCTAAAAATGCTTCCTTGCTCGCACCACGTTCAATGAGTCAAATAAACATTCTTTATAACTTCCTTAGTCTCAATATAATAGTGTTTTCTACATTTGGGCGGGAGCATCTCCTGAGATACACTAGACTCGCACATATTTCGAATAATTCGCACACGATTGAACACACGCTGTATTACACACGAAATAAGAATGAGTACTAATGAGTACTAATGAACTTAAACTCAGTAGTATACCAAACCAAAGAATGTTAAACACAGGTAGGTATAAAATTATTTTCTATTACGGACCACAATTTTACCTGAATTTAAATTTCCAAACTTTAGGTAATAATCTTGTTGCATTGTATGTTAATGACCACCCTTGGATAATCCCGTGCAACAGCAACGATTCCGTCAATGTCTTTATTTAATCACCAACCAGGTCTTACGAAAAATAATGAGTTCGATAGGTCTCTTTCTCCGACGAGCCTGATTTTTTTTTAATCCGTTCATCTGTTTAAAAGTTATTCACTTAAACAACATTGATCACCCCTCACCATTTTATTCTAAGATAATAGTCCAAAATTGCAGAAATAAAACATAGGTTTCAGAAGCATATATTTTTTGTCACATTGACTAAAAAATTAGAGGAGAGAAAACAGTTTCTAATAAACCCCAGCTACGAAATTTCTTTTTTTTTGAATGAATTTTTATTTGAATTTAGTTAAGAACAATGATAGGAGCAGTCTGATTCAATCATGTCCACCTATTTTAAAAAAATATGCAAAATTTGTGGTTTTATAATAGTAATAATTCCGTAATATTTTATTGTTCTATATATTTTCGTTTATAATAAAAAATAAAAACATTATTTTTCCGCGGTATTTGTAGCGCGATATCTCTCTATCGGTTAACTTTTGACCCAATGTTTATATAACAAACTACCTTTCATTTTAAACAAGAAATCAGCAACTTGAGTTTTTCGGATAGGTTTCTCACCACCATGTATATATAAATAAATAATTTTTCACTATCTAAGATAGTTATTTACAAAACTTCTGGATTCCCCTGCGTTGGTTGTTGTTGACACGAACTTGCTAACGTTTCGCCAATCATCCTGTTAGCTTCTTCAGAGCTTAACTGAAACTGAAGAAGCCAGGAGGATGATTGGCGAAACGTTAGCAAGTTCGACTCAACAACAACCAACGCAGGAGGAATCCAAAAGTTTTGTAAATAGTATTACAGTAGCCTGTGGAAGTTTCTTTGAAAAAATGTCTAAGTTGTTTATATAAATCAAGGAAGGAAAGAGACATTAGAAAAATTACTTTTAAATGAAAATTGGCGGTTGGCGACTTTAGTAATAAAATGACGGACTGCGAGATATAGTACTCTGCAGCCCTGAAAAAAATGAACCCATGATGGATTAGGATATTGGATCTGTAATGCTGAACCGATAATAAAAAGCTCGGACAAACGTTCTTAGTTTAATTTCGCTGTAACGCGAGCCCGGGCAACCATGTAACTTAGCCCCTGCTTCAGGAGCGGAACGTTTTTCTATGCGAGTTAATTAAAACCCGGCCGTCGACGTAAACGAAGAGAACTTTAAAATTACTCCGTAGATTAAACTTCAACAAGACGAGGTAAACGACGCGGAGATTGGTCAGTTTTGCGTTTCCAATCGACTTTTATATAGAGACGACCTCGAGAGTGAGCAAGTTGAGCGTGAAGGTATTCCTTGGCCTATTTTTAGGGGTCGTTGTGAAGGGTATTGTGAAAATAAACTGCTAAATAGAGGACATAACTGTAAAAATAAATGTTTCCTGAAATGATAGACATAAACCAAATCCACGGGCGTACTGCACTGAGTCAGAAGAAAGTTCAAGTGGATCTAAGATGAAAAACGTATTTGTGTTTACAAGCTACAAAAACGAATTGCTCGTTCACCCTCCTTTCAATGGGTGAAACAAAGTTACAAGAGTGGTGCTTGGGTGATATATTGATTACGGGCGATGATGAATTGTCAAGGAGTACTTCATTGTGAATTTGTGTTAGTATGGGAGTTATACTATATTCCTTAATGTTAAAAAGTTTTATTCAACCTATTTTTAAGTGTGTTTTCCAAAACTAACAATGTTAACAATCATTTTTTATTCAAAATTCAGAAATAGAAATACCGCATAAAAAAAATTTATAAAAAATTATAAACGAACCTGGAATTCGAAACTCGAAATTTTTTGCTTCCCGGTGCTTACTAACTTAAGCAAAAAAACTTCTTTTATATGTTAGGTCTGAGGTTTTTGTTTTCTCATTTTTTCTAATCATTTCGAACATTTTAAAATTTGAATAATCCATTTTTCCATCAATTTGACTGGTAAGAAAAAATGGTTAAAATGTTTTGAAGGATTATTAGATTATTGGCGTAAATCTGAACTGAACGCAATCATTTATTCTTACATTTTTTGTGCAAATTATTGAGAAAACATGTTTTCTTAATTACCGTTTTTAGGGTTATTGGAGATTTCAGCTAATAATGCCGATCAACTCAGAAAATTATTATTTTTTTATAACTTAAATAAATAAACCTTCTTTTTAAACAATTTTGTTTATTAAGTTATATTTTTGTTGCGATTTTGACTGTTGAATTTGTATTCTCTGACTTCCGTAATATTGGTCCTACCTATGTACCTATAATAATCGTTAATTTTTTTGGACTAAATTACCTAAACTGAAAACTAATATTGAAACACAATAATTTTGGCAAATATGAATTTTCAATATCAAGTTTCACTATGAATTAGATTTTGGATGTTGGATTTTATTAACATGTTATTTTTTACCAAATTTGACCAAACCTATTCTTATTTCACTTTGATTTTTTTTCATATGTTCGTGTAATTACACTTAGTGTCTTTCAAACTTAGGTTTAAAAAAAATGCAACTTTCAACAAGTATTTTTTACTTACCTGGCGTTAATTACGGAATATTGATGGTGAGATAGACAACAGGCAATAGACAATAGATTTCATCCTTCTAAAGTTATACAGATCAGCGAACTCGAAAGTTATATTACTTAAATAGTGACAATATTTAAGAAAAATTGCACCTGCAACACTGAATAAGCGAACAATCTTGCAACTGAACTACAAAACAACATTTAAAACTAATAATAATAATAATAGACTGAACCGCATAGACTTATAAAATTTGCCAATTTATTCTTATTACAACAAAAATAACAAGAAGAAGCAATCAATTAATAACCAAAACCATTACAATTCTGTCGTGGCGGTTTAACCTTCGCTCGCTCCCTACAGAATCCTGTGTAATCGGCCCCCAAAGTTTTGATATCGGTTCCAAAAGTGTAGTGTTTGTTTTCTAAGAGTTTTGTGAACGTTTTAAAGTGTTTAATCGTTGTCAGCCTCGCTGTTTTTGACTTCTACTCCGGTTAAAGGCCGGATAGTCCACGGGGGAAGCGCGAGTGGCCGTTTCTTCCTATCGTCAAAAGCTATTTTTTTCAAGTGTTATCTTACGAAGGCATCCTTTAGGAATTTTGAATCATGTTTATCAATTTTGGAAGCTGTCCAAATGACCTTATGTAGTCCTGGCCATTAGAAGTAAAAGAAGAAGAAGAATTAGAACCATTACACGAGTATCTAGATGAAAAGCAACGTGTTTAGTATATTACAGCAAACAATAACAGTTATTCAAATAATAGACGAAAAGAAAATGCAATAATTATTTAGGTTATGTGATAGAAAATGGGAATATTATAAACAAATCTGAAACTTGCTTTGCATTCATTTTTTCGCTATTAATAGTTATATAAGAAACAAATAAAATAGTTTTTAAAAACGAGACCCGTCGATGGCAACTCAACTTTCATTCAAAACAAAACTTCTTAGTGGATTATTGGTTTTAAATTATTTTTATGAATTGTGATCAAAAAAATTATAAAACTTCGTTTTCGGGGAAATGGTTTTTAGTGGTAATTCTTGATGTAATTTCTGATACAAGTTGTAATTAAGTGCACGCAGATCCACTACTGAACTTCCCATTGCCATCCCACAAGAATTACCGGCGTATACCCTCACTGTGCCGCAATAAATAAAAGAAAATTAATTATAACACTTTCAATTTTAGGAGAAATGAATCAT